GACTACACTGCCCATCAGGCTTTAGGGCGATGCCTGTAACACTTCCTGTTGCCTTCATGTTAAATATATTTTTGAACAATAATTCTTATAAATATTTCTTCACGTCATTATGCGGGCACAAGTACAGGTGACATGGGTGGCGAGAGTGAGACACAGACATTACAGCCTCTTATTGTGTGTTTTCTTTGGGTTTCCAGCGTTCTGGGATCCTGGGCTGGTGCTCCCTCTGTTGGTCCCTGGTGTTAGTGTTCCTCTGTCTCGTCAGCTTAATCAGGTCCAGCTGTGTCTCCCACCTGTGTGTTATTTCCCAGTGTTCCTCTGTGTGTATGGGTGTGCTCGTTACTGTCTGTGAATCCACTGTGTGCTCTCCCTGCTGTCCTCCCTTCGTGTTCAGGTTTGCTGTTCTATAGTTTAGTTTCTCCCAGTTTGGATTATTATTAAGTTCTGTTTTTGCCACTTTGTGTTCTGTCATTTATAATAAATCTCCATCGCATCTCTGTAACTGCATCCGAGTCCTTTTTCCCACACACCAGACGACTGCTGCGCCAGCTGTGACAAACACTGCCTGCAATGAAATTCTTACACTTGTGTTCCCCAACTTTACACGGACATATAGGAAGTATACAGGTGTGTTAAAGAAAAACAATAATATTAAAATAAAAAAGCCTGAAAGTATTAAAATATTAATAGTTTAATATTTACAGTTTGTGCAGAAACTGTGCAGTGAGGATTTAAAGTGGCATTGTTTAAAATGACAGTGTGTAGAGTCCAGTGGTTTGTAATGGTGTGTATCGAATGTCAGCAGTTCAAAAGCCTGATGGCTTGTGGGTAAAAACTGTCCCTGTGTGTGGTAGTGCGGGTCTGGATGCTCCTGAACCGCCTGCCGGACGGCAGCAGTGTGAAAAGTCTGTGTCTGGGATCAGAGAGGATCCGCTGCGTCGTCCTCATGCAGCGCTGTCTGCAGAGATGCTGCATGGCTGCACGTTCAGTCCTGGTGATGCTGTGCTGACCTCACCACCCTCTGCAGAGCTTTGCAGTCCAGAGCATTACAGCTGCATCAATGGTGCATCGACAGAAGTTTTTATTATATTTTAAAAAATAATAATTCTGGGGTTCATGCTGAATCTTCTCAGGCGCCGCAGGAAGAAGAGCCGCTGTCTTGCTGCTCTTGTGATGACACCAACATGTTGTGACCAGCTCAGATCCTCGCTGATGTTGATGCCTCTGAAGCAGCTGACTCTCTCCACCTCTGCTCCTTCGATGTGGATGGGGGTGTGGCCTCCTCTCTGCAGTCTGCTGTAATCCACGATGAGCTCCTGGTTTTGCTGACGTTGAGCAGCAGGTTGTTGTCGCGGCGCCGTGATGTCGGGGCTCTCACCTCTGCCCTGTATGCCGTCTCATCTCCGTCAGAAATGCAGCCGATGATGGTGTTGGAGCTGTGTGTTGCTGTACAGTCGTGGGTGAACAGGGTGTACAGCAGGGGGCTGAGCACACATCCATGGGGGGCACCTGTGCTGAGTGTGGATGAGGTGCCGATGTGAACCACCCGAGGTCTGTCTGTCAGGAAGTCCAGGATCCAGCTGCACAGGGAGGAGCCGACGTTCAGGTCACAGAGTTTCATGACAAGTCTGGATGGTATGATGGTGTTGAAGGCGGAGCTATAGTCTATGAACAGAATCCGCACATATGTGTTTTTCTGCAACTTCCTCTGAATAGAACAGAATAGAAGAGGCCTTTATTGTCATTGCACATGTACAACGAAATAAAGTACAAGACTGTGGTTTAAAAATGTGAATTTGTTAACAGTTAGCAGGTAAATCAGTCACTGCCTTCACACAAACATAGACTGAGTCATGAGTTTGCACAGAGCATTCGGGAAGAGACGGGAACGCAAACACACAGCAGGCTGAACGGGAACAATGAGGTGGGCCAGCCAATCAGAAAGAAGCAAGGGCTGATCACACCAACTCAGAGCACTGCTGGCCAGAAGCATCCCAGAAGCAGTTCACCACAAACTCACGTCGATTTTCAAAATAAAAGTCCTGCCACAACTTCCTGTCACACATCAGGCGTTTTCCCAGTTCGTAAGAGCCACCTCACACACTGGGAAACCGAACAGGTGCACGCAGCAATGAATTTTGTTCACTCAGATTCAGCTTTTCTCTGCTCAAAATAAATTTCTCCTCAAAATGCAACACTTGCACCTGCAAACTTTTTTTTACGTGCGCTCAGAATAGTGGCATGAAAATAACGCCGTACCCTTCCCTCCCCTTTTGCACAGTCGAGGAGCGTGTCAGGAGACATTTCACTGCATGTTGTACTTATGCATGTGGCAAATTAAGAATCTTGAATCTTGCCCACTGTGGGCCTGTTTTTGTTTGTTGTTTTACTTTTAGCCACTCCCACATAATGGGGTCACCACACAGTCGATTTGGCAGATTTTTACACCAATTGTGCTTCTTGATATTAGCAGAAAGGGACTTCTGTTTCCTTGCACACTCAAACCAGGGGAGTCAAACATGTACTCTTCTACAAAAACCCTTTGTGTTATATGTGTTTCCTCTCAGCAAACCCACTGTGGGTGAGCCAGAGACGATGACGGGGTCCTGCAGAGTAAAACTAATGTGGAGCTTGCAAAAGCTAGGGTACTTGCTGTCGACCCTGTGAGGGCGCGTTCACCCACAGCTACCCACTGTGGGCGTGCACAGGCATGTGTGCCAGGCTTTACACAGTGTGTCTATAAACTGAAGCAGTTATCTCACAGCGGCTGCTGATCCACGAGCACCAAACAATTAGCATAATTGTGACATGCATCTTACAAAGCAGCATGAAGATGAGAATGCACTGCAGGAAACTAACAAAACAAAACAGGAAGTACGGTGGGGCACGGGAGGAAATGGAGGCGCTATAAACGCAAAGTCATATCGCGTTCAAACATTAAAGAAGCAGGACGTCAGGACTGTGGAGTCTAGAGACAGAGTTTCTGATGAGCTGCTGCTCATGCTGAAGAAAGAGTAGTTATCAGGTCCATCGTCAGCAGGAAGTGGAAGTAAACATGTGAGTCAGTGTGCTCGCCATGAAGAACTCAGCTATGAAGAGGAGCTCAACCTCCAGTGCCTCCTCATCAGTGTCAGAGTCAGTGACTCGTCAGTGTGACTTCTGACACACATTCTTGCATATTAATGTTCCTGCTGTGTGTGTGTGTGTGTGTGTGTGTGTGTGTGTGTGTGTGTGTGTGTGTGTGTGTGTGTTTGTGTGCTAGTTGAAACCTGCACCAGTCTGCAGGGCTCTGGTGCATTTACCGTTTCCTCTAGCTTGTGTCCAGAGTCACATAGACTGTATATGAATGATGGACATGGCTGCTTCTACTGTGATAGGTGCAATCAAGCTACACTGCAGTCACGTTGACTAAATGCTTGTCAGTCACATGATGGAGCGTAGCTGCTTCATCACAAATGAAACAGACTTGAATCTGATGCTTGAAGTTTTCTCTGCGTCTTTCTTTTACGAAGCCTGCTGAAGCAGTTGTTCTGAATTGGTTCCATAAAAACTGAATTGGATTAAAAGTTATTCATAGAAACACTAAAGTTATGTGTAAAGCGTTTACTGGGCTCCCCATACGCTTCACAGCAGTCGCCCCTGGTGGCTGATATAAATAATGCGGTTTTAAAGAATTTGAAACCACAAGGGCTTCTTGAAACTTCCCCATCTTTTATATACAGTCTGTGATTTGGGTCCATAATGATTTAAGGCGCTGGTTTTAACGAGTATCTGTTTCCAGTCAACGACAACATAAAAATGTCCCCATTTAAATGTTAACATTGAAACATGTTCATAGACTATAAAAATAGCATCTGTTACCTCTTACCCACAAACAAGTTTGTGTTTGTGGTTGTAAAGCTGTGTGGTTACGAGCAGCAGGAGGAAGAACAGGCGTGTTCACAGTTCCTGCTCTCAGATCACACAGGAACTGTTCAGACACTGTGTGAGGATGAAGGTGAACATCTTCTGCTGCCTGTTGGCCTGCACTCTGGGCTCTAATGTCACTGCAGGTGAGACTCTTTCACTCTATTCACATTTACATATTTATAGTTTACATATGAGACTCAGATAATAAAAGCTGTGAAGTTCAGTGTGAGACTGTGTGCTTGGATAAAGGTGTGTGTGACGCGTCACAGTTTTTATCTCACTGTCAGTAAATCTGTCCTAAAATTATCCCTCAGTTATTTTACAGATGAACGAAGTCATTTTGTTCGGACTATAAAACGTTAGAAAAGACTGAGTGCTTCATAAGACAGTTCAACCTCCAATCAGGAAATTAGTGTTTCCTGATTGAAGCTGCGATCATGAAACATCAGTCCTAAAACAGCTGAGTGACATGTTGGTGCTGCAACATTTCCACCCTCACATCCTTCAAAGAAGCTTCATTATTACAGACAGTCTGACCACAGTGGACAGAAATCATGCTTGTGCTGTTACTCTGTCAGATATCGGCCTGGTTGGTGATTTTTAGTTCTGTATATGAATCTTGGATGATTGGCAGCTTTGAAATTCTTCCTTCACTGATCATGTAACAAAGTTTAACTTCATGAAATTTTGAGATCAAAGCATTAAGGAACGCTCCAGTTAATGTCAGTCTAGACGTGTGATGTTACCGTGTGTCCACAGCATCTGAAGGTTTATGTGATTCTGAAAACTGTTTGTTTTTGCAGGTTTGACCCATGAAGGAGTTAAGGAGGGGACGCAGGTCACTGTGCGCTGTCCTCACTCTGTGGAGGGTGGAGTGAGGTGGAGCAGAGAGAGTGGAGGAAGCAGAGCTGACATACTTACAGCTGATGGAGACAAAACTAAAAAACACATCAATGATCCACAGAAACGATACAATTCACAGGCTGACGGGTCTCTGTTCATCCTCAGAGCTGCTCCCTCAGACTCTGGCAGATACTTCTGTAACCATGAAGCAGCTGTGGAGCTGACAGTGATCCCATCAGGTAACATCAAACATTTTAACAGTTGACCTGTTTAAAAATCACGCGTCTTCCATAAAAAAACAATAACTGACTCAAACGAATTCAGTGAGAATGAAAAGCTGCATTTCAGACGTGTTTTTAACTTTAGTTGCAGCTTTGTTTTGTCACATGTGCTTCCTGTTACTGTCGATGAGTTTCTATAAAGTAATAACTGTAATGTTCTTCATGTGTAACCTCACATGCTGCAGTAACCAGTGAGCAGCTACATAATAATAAAAGTCTTATCTCTGCTCTCTGTAAACTCAAACCAGTGTTTCTGAACTTCAGCTGATTTGATCACACTGAAGCATTTTTGGGTTTTTGTGCAGTGACCGACTTTATGTTGACGATGTCATTCTGTCTTTGCTTTGACATCAAAAACCTAAAACGCCAGCAGAGATAACCGGTATCATCACCGAGTTATGGAGTCAGAGCGCAGACTTCCTGTTTGAAGTGGCGGCTCGGGCCAGCTTCACACAGCCTGTAGTAGCTGTGTGCTGCCACCAGGGGGCAGTGCGCAGATATACTGTGTGGACTCGTGTCTGTCTGTGCTGTTGTTGCTGCCTGAGCTCCAGTTTGATGGAAACAGATAAATAGAAATGGATGCAGTGAAAGAGTGAAAACAATGAACGCTGTCGGCTGCAGCCCTCTCTGTGCTCCCTGTCCTCCTCTTTCCTGTTGACGTCCACCTTTAAACCAATCAGCACGTTGGAAAGAATCACTTTAATGATAAATGTCATTCATTCTTCACAGGAACAACAATAGTGAGTGTTGCAGAGAGGAGCAGCATCACTCTGAACTGTTCTCATAATGTTGGAGGATCAGCTGTTCCCACGTGGAGACGAGACTCTGGAGAAATAAATGAAGGAAGGATTTCTGTTTCCACGGAGGACACAACATTACGTATAAGAGAAGCTGAGCCTGCTGACTCTGGACTGTACTACTGTGATGGAGAACCAGCTGCTTATCTGAATGTGACCAAAGGACAGAGATCTGACAGAGGTGAGACACATGAACCCAAAAGTAACACAGAAATGTTTTTGTAGAGTTTCCTCTGTTTTCTGCCGCTCTCTGCAACAGTCGCTGACCACCGGCTATCCCGCCATGTCGCTGCTGCAGTCTCTCATGCTCTACCTCTAGCCCCCTTCATCTGCCCCGCCAGGTCCTCTTATTGGCC